TGGTTTTGTTGCCCTTTCCCGTATATTCCTGTAATCCAGGGATAGGAGTTAATCTCCTTAAGCCACAAGATGTAAATATCATCAATTCTTTCTGGAATATTGATAAGAGACCAATTAGTCTTTCTGGCTGGTGGACACAGCCATCGACCAGAACACTTGGACAAGAAGTGATACTGTCAAAACCCGCCATAGTCCACTGTCCATTTTTTCTCTACATAAACCCCTGTGGTCTCCTAGACAAATCTGGGAAGCTCTTATTCCTTGACTCCTCTATGTTAAAAAGCTCAAGCTCATTGACATCGATTCAGAATTGCCTCATAATTGACCAGTGGGTTTTCAGAAGTTGTAAATCTCATGAGAACTGACTGTCCATTTTTCTCCTGAGGAGGGATTAGAGGATTCGAACTGCCAGAAGTAACACCTTTGGGTTATTCATGCAATTCCCTACAGACTAGGCCACCAGAGCACCCTCTGCTAGGACTATTATATTGTTGTTGTTATGTGCCATTGAGTTGCCTGTGACCCATAGTGACCCTCTGTACAGCAGTTCTGAACTCTGCCCTGTCCTGAGCCAGATTCACTAATTCCAACATGCCAGCCCCCATTGCCCCAGTCACTGTATCAAGCCATCTCATCTGGGGTCTTCCTTTCCTGCGCTGCCCCTCCACCCTCCCAAGCATGATGTCCTTCTCCAAGGACTGGTCCCGCCTTGTAACATGTTCAAAGTATGTCAGAGGAAGCTTCAGAATCCTTGCCTCCAAGGTCTCACTCTCTCTAGGATGAAACTGTTCTAGCAGTAAATGGTAGAGAAGCTAAAGTGAAAGGAAGAATACTCAAAAAAGATAGGAGCAGAAGATTTCAAAGGACAGCTTGAGAAGACAAAGCAAAGATTATAATGAAATGTGCAAAGACCTAGAGTAAGAAAAATGAAAAGAGAAGACAATGCTCCCCAATTCTTAAGCTGAGAGAACTAAAGAACAAGTTCAAGCCTTGAGTAGCAATACTGTAGGACTCTATGAGCAAAATACTGAATGACACAGGAGGCACCAAAAGAAGGAAGGAATACACAGAGTTACTGTATCAAAAAGAACCGGTAATCAGGAAACCTTTTCAAACAAGTCTGTCCTAGAGAGAATGAAACCAGGCTGTTCTTTGGAGGCAAGGATTTTGAAACTCCTCACATACATTGGGCATATTGCCTGGAGGGGCCATTCCTCGGAAAAAGACATCATGCTTGGAAGGCTGGAGGCTCAGTGCAGGAGAGGAAGATCCTAGATGAGATGGAGTGATACAGTGACTATGGGGATGGGGGCAGATGTGTCAGATATGGGTGGGGTTGGCTCAAGACACGTTAGGGTTCAGAGCTATTGTTCTCAGGGCCGCTATGAATCTAGTCAATTTGATGGCACGTAACAACAACAAACCATTTCAGCAAGGAACATATGATAAAAAAACTAATGGCACTGAAGGAAAAAAGTCCAGATTGTACTTAAGGCATGTAAGGAAAAAAGGCCCCACGAATTGATGTAGCCCTGAATGTGCTCACCAGCCTAAGTCAAGAAATGTGGAATTCAGCTACCTGGCTAACTGACTGGAAGAGATATTTGTGACCATTTGAAAAAAAGATGATACAATAGAACACAGACATTATCAAACAGTATCATTAATATCACACACAAAATCTTGCTGAAGGGTATTCTAAAACAACTGGCTGTACATTGACAGAGAAGCAATGGAAATTCAAGCTAGATCCAGAAGAGGTCAGGAACAAGAGATATCACAGTTGACAGAAAATGGATCTAGACTAATGTTAGAGAATATTAGAAAGATATTTACTGTGTTGTAATGACTATGAAAAGGCATTCACACTGGTGAGAGTCAGCGCCCAGAGCCATCAGGGGCTTTAAGCTCGTTGCCCACTGCTGTGGTGTGGACAGCTGAAACCCAGGCCCCGACAGGCACCTGGGGGGGAAAAAAACCCAGACTCTACTTCATGCTCTGCTGGAGAAGGAGGGGCAGTCTCCTGTACCAGTCAGATCCAATTTGACGGTACACACACACACACACACACACTTTTTCTTCCTCTTTTTTAAAAAAAGACTACTTCAGCCATCGCGGCCCTCTGCCCGGGGCGGGCTGCCCTCAGCCCTCTGCCTGGGGCGAGCCATTGCGGCCCTCTGCCTGGGGTTTTGCCCTCGGCCCTCTGCCCGGGGCGGGCTACGCTTGGCCCCCGGCTCGGGGCGAACCGTCGCGGCCCTCAGGAGCAAGAAGGCAAGCAGCTGTAACCCAAGACCACCAGTAAGGTGATAAAACGTCCTCCCTTCCCCCCTTTATATCTACGCCCCTGTTCAGCATGAAGAAGCCAGAGAGTCGGCATCCAATTCCCAAATCAATAAGACAGTTGGCTTAATTACTATTGGGAAAAAAAAAGAAAAGGCATTCAACTGTGTGAATCATAAATTATGACTAAGATTTAGAAAAATGGGAATTCCAAAACACTTAATTGTGTTCATGTGGAATCTGGACATGAACCAAGAAGCAGTCATTCAAACAGAACACAGGGATACTGCATGGTTTACAATCAGGAAAGGTGTCAGCATTGTATCATTATCTATTTAATACATATGCTGAGCAAATAATCTTGAGAAACTGGACTATATGAAGAAGAATGTATCATCAGAATTGGAGGAAGACTCATCATAACTTTTAGTATGCAGGTGACACAAGTTTGCTTGTGGAAAGTAAAGAGGACCTGAAGCACATACTGAAGAAGGTCAAAGACAACAGCCTTCAGTATGGATTATAACTCAACATCAAGAAAACAAAACTCAGGGCGTTCTGGTGGTCTAGTGGCAAGAAGCTGCACTGCAATCCCAGAAGTACGCGGTTCAAATCCACCAGATGCACTGCTGGAGAAGAAGGGGCAATCTCCTCCTATACCAGTCAGATGTGATTTGACGATGTGCACCAAAAAACTCCTCAAAACTGAACAGACAACATCATGACAGATGGAAAGAATACTGAAGTTGTCAAAGATTCATTTTACTTAGATCCATAACCTACAGAAGCAAAAGAGAAGAAATCAAAAGATGTATTACACTGGGCAAATCTGTTGTCAAGGATCTTTTGAAAGTGCTGAACAATGTCATTTTAAAGACTAAGGTCATAGTATTTTCAATTTTTACACATGCATATGAATGTTGGATAATGAGTAATAAAGACCAAAGAATTACTGATGCCTTTGAATAGTTGTAGGTGTTGGAGAAGAGTATCGGATGTACCACGCACTGCTAAAAGCATAAACAAATCTGTCTTGGAATAAGGGCAGCCAGGGTGCTCCTTAAGAGGCAAGGATGGCGACCTCACATCATCTCACATCCTTTGGGCATGTTGTCAGGAGGGGGCAGTCCTTGGGGAAGGACATTATTCTTGGAAGATAGTCAGGGAAAGGGATGATGATCTTTAAAGAGATGGACTGCAGCAATGGGTTTCAATAAGCATGTTATCTAGGCTGTACAGAAGGGGGAGTATTTAGTAAAGTTTCAATTTGCTCTACACAGGGTCGCTCTGAGTCAGAGTTGACAACATGGCACCAGACACAAACAATAAATAAAAAAATAATATCAATAAATATCAAATGGAAAAAAAGAAATGTGTATCAGAGTAGAACTGTGCTCCATAAGATTTTTAAGGGTGGATATGTTTAAGGTATATTACTAGGCCTTTCTTCCAAGACTACCCCAGGGAGACTAAAACCACCAACCTTTTATTTAGTTACCTGTAAGCACTTAACTGTTTGTATCACTCAGTCACTCACTGTGCCAGACACTGCTGCTATCACTAGTGTTAAGCTGGCACCAACTCACAGTTAACGCTGAGTGTTACAGAGTGAAATAATTCCACAGTGTGTTTCCGGCTCGAACCGTTATGGAAACGGGCTGACAGGCCTTTTTCTTCCAAGGAGCCACTGGGTGGGTCCCAACCAAGAACTTGCCAGTTAATCCCAAATCACTTGTGCCATCCTAGATGGCCACTATCTACTGAACAGTATTTAAAAAGAATTTATTGAACCAAATTCATTTTAGAAACGTCAACAGGTAATCAAGGCATGTATTTTAATAGTAATAGTCAATTCCCAATCTCTTGATTGAGCATTAAAAAAAAAACAGAGTGAAGGAAATTTGTAATCATGAAACAAAGAATATTAAAGTCTTAGGGCAATAATTGGACCAGTAACTACGAATTAAGCAGTCATCACACCACAGTTCTTAATACCAAGTCCTAGGAGCTGCTATTTTTATTCTGACCCACCCCAACGTCAGACAAGTCTGACTCCACCGGTTTCCGAAGCTGGAAATCTCCAGAAGACCGCTCATCTTTTTCCCACGGGGCAGCTGGTGCCTTCGAACCCGATTTTGGCAAACCCTCCAACACGTTACACACTACAGTGCCAGAGCCTTTATTCTTCCTTTTAGCAGTAAGAAAACATATATTCCGCATTTTTGGCCAAAGTCCCAGGGCCGGGGCGTGCATGTTTCAAGTCACTCCACGCCCTGCATAGCTCAGCGGAAAGGAATTCCGTAACGGCATCTCTTCAATTGCAAATCTACCGAGCCACCATCCTGTTAAAACGTAAACCCTCCACCACCATAAACGAACAAGCGGAAAAGGCCAAGAAGCAGCACCTGTGCGCCGCCAGCCGGGAGGCGGGGGTCCCCGGGGCCAGGGCGGCATCTCTAGTTATCGCGGGACCCCAAGTCCTGGGAGCAATGTCCACCCCCGGCTGGCCTCCGCCTCAAGGGGTCCGGCAGTCTGTTCAGCCACTCAGAGTTCCCAGGCCCTGCTGAGCAGTACAGAGACCCCGGGCGGAGGCCTCACCTCTGGCCTCATTTGGGCTTCTGCTGTCAGGTCACCTAGACCCCAGGGCTCCATCGAACCTTACACCTGCCCCGCACACCGCCGCCCGCTCCCACGCCCCCGAGCTTGCCCGCAGCCAGCACCTCCTCCTCATGGCGGACTCTCCACGAAGCTGGGCGTTGAGGGTCCCAGCCCTGCTCCAAGAGGCCCCAAGCGCAACCACCACTCGCAAAACACTGGCGATATGACTCTGCGTCGCAGGCCCGCGAGCCGTTGGGCCCCGCGGAATTTCAAACCAGGGTCCGTGGCGGCGCAGCCCGACGATTGGCGCCGCGTCCGTCGCTCCCCACCTTCTCCCCGCCCCGCTGACTGACGTCAGTGTGCAGTCGGTTCTGGGAGCCCGGCCCGGGCGGCGGCGGCGGCGCTCGTGCCGAGGGTGGGAGGTGTCTAGACGCTCGGGGGCGGGGCCGCCTGTTCCTGCGCGCGGCCACGCCCGGGGCCGGCTCGCCTACCTTGGGTTCTCTGCGTGGCGACGTCCCTCAGCTCCAACCAACGATCTCATTGGAATTCCGCCCGGCCACGCTGTTTTGATTCGAAGTGCGCGCGCCGCTGCCCAGAGGCCTTCGGGAGGGTGGACAGACCATGAACGCGGTGCGTTGTTCTGAGCTGATTGTTGCTGTGTGCCTGCCTTAGAGTAGACTCATAGCAGACCTTCCAGCGGGTTTTCAGAGGCGGGAAGTAAATCCCACTAGAAGAGATTGTCCATCCTTCTCCCGGAGCCACTGGTGGATTCGCACTGAAAGAAAGGTGCATTTGAAGCACCCGCCCTTTGGAATGCCTTTGGCTGCCTTTGCGCGCAGCTTCTTACCTCTAGGCCACCAGAATGACCGTGAGCTAGTTAGGCGTGGCAAGCAGCTCAGACTCATTGTGGAGTCAAAATAGACTCAACTGACCCTCTAGCGATTTCTCGAGCAGTAAATCATTCCCACCGGAAGAAATTGCCTATCTTTCTCCCAGAGAGATGTGGCCTTTGGGTTCGGTACAACTCACTACCTAACAGATGAGCACGAGGAAAACCAAAAGATGCCTAGGGGTTTAACAATTCCCCTCGCTTATCCAAGCAGCGAGCTGAAGTCTGGTGGAAATCTTCCAGATGTGGGAAGCACGTCGAGCAGGGAGGGGGAGGGGAATGAAACAGAGCTGCTCACAGGTTTCTCGAAAGTTAAGCCCATCACCACACCAATCCTGTTAAATAAGTATTACTGTAATTTTAAAGAGAAGGAAACAGTCTTAACAAGGTTTGCGTGAAAACGGAGAAGAGAACCTGCGCGTGGTTGAGTGAAAACGAAGAGAGCCTGGGTGTGGTTCTCGTTCACATTACATGCATAATTATGCGAGTTTTTAAATAATTTTTATTATACTAGTTTATTTATAAAATTCTAATACATTGCTTTTCAGACCAGATTATTCCAATTCCCCTCACCCCCCCCATCAAATTGTACAATCCTATGATTAATACCTGACCGGCACATTATTTTTTAACTCAAAATAGGGATCAAAATGTCAGGGGTTTTTCCCGTTTTCCTTTTCTCGAACATATGCTACATCCCTAAACGTTGATATAATGGTTGTATGATATACTGTGTGTGTGGATATCCCACAGTTTAAGTATTTTACTATTAATATATTTAGATGTCAATTTTTAGGATAATGCCAGGGTAAATAGATAAATCTTAGTGTCTTGTGTTCTTTATTTTACAGTTGATTTCCCAGAAGTGTAATTACTAATCTATATAATTGGTGATTTTAAGCTCTCTTTCTCTCAGAGTGTATTACTTTGCCCTCTCCTCCAAGTCTTGCTGGAAGAGTCTCCATCTTACCCTCTGTAATGTTTATTAATACAAAATCAACACTCTGGGTACCAGCAGCCAGGAAAGAAAAAGATTACTTGCTTTGGGAAAGTCTGCTGTCAGAGACCTCTCCAAAGTACTGAAAAGCAACGATGTCAGTGTGGAGACTAAGGTTCACCTGATCCAGGTCAGAGTCTTTGCAATTACTTGCTATACATCAGAAAGCTGGACAATGACTAGGGATAATAGAAGGAGAATTGAAGCCTTTGAGCCGTGGTGCTGGAGAAGAGTATTGAATATATCATAAACTGGTAGGAGAACAAGTAAATAATGTCCTAGAGAAGGTGAGACCAGGCTGCTCCTTGGAGGCAAGGATTCTGAGGCTTCGTCTGACATACTCTGGACATGTTGCAAGGAGGGACCAGTCCTTGGAGAGAGGGACATCATGCTTGGGAGGGTGGTGGGACAGACAACACAAGAGAGGAAGACCTCAATGAGATGGATTGATGCAGTGACGGGCGTAATAGGGGTAAGTGTGTTGGAAACAGTAAGATTGGTACAGGATAGTGCAGGTTTTAGGGCTTTTGTACATAGGGTCGCTTTGAGTTGCCAGCAACTCGATAGCACAGGACAACAACAGTACCTCCTAGCTAGTTTCCTAGACAAAAGTGGCATCACCTTTGATTAAAATGGAAAGTACTTTTTTCCCTGCTTATTGGTCAAGTTAAACCTTCATTCTGTGAATTGTTTGCCTTTTCCATAAAAGAATACTTGCTTCACCTTCAGGATTGTTTTGTCACTCAGGAAAGCTTCATTGATTCATTCAATGTCTTTCAACTTGTTGGCAATGTAACAAAACACCCTTAATATAAGGCATGTCTTTTTAAATTACTTGCAGTCTTTGTTGAAGAACTTCAAAATAGTTAGATATCTAATTTTAAGAATTTATCTTCAAGGGAGCTCTGGTGGCCTATTGGCAAGAAGCTGCACTGCAATCCCAGAAGTACACGGTTTGAATCCACCAGATGCTCTGCTGGAGAAGGAGGGGCAATTTCCTCCTGTACCAATCAGATCCGATTTGACTGTACACACACACACACACACACACACACACACACACACACAAAATAATAAAATTAAACAAAAAAGAATTTCTCTTCAGATATGTTCTCAGGGCCAGTATGTATAAAAGATAAAAACACTTTTGCTATCATGTCCTTGCCATCTTTGGAAAGTGTAAAACAAAAAAAAAGTCTGAAAAGATACCTATTCAGCGATTATACTCAGCATGTCTGTTTAAGATGCTATCTACTCCCTTAAGAATATTTATTACAGAGAATTGTGTAGAGAGATGAAACAGTTCATCCAGCTCAGGAGAAACTCACATAATCAACTGACACATAAACAGACCCATCCTGCCATTCTTGCAAACCAGAGATAGAACAATAAAGAGAACTGGTAAAATAAGCCTCTTTAGGTGTTCCCCTGAAGCAAACAAATGTGCATCAGTATTTGAGAAATCAAGATTTTGTACCTTAACTTGGTAACAGCAGCCAGGAATTCAAGAAGATAATTGCATTGGAAAAGTCAGCTGTGAGGGACCTCTCAAGAGTACTGAAAAGCAACGACGTCAGACTGGAGACTAAAGTGCGCCAGATCTGGGCTACAGTCTCCACAATTACGTGCTATGCATCAGAGAGTTGGACAGTAAATAGGGTTGATAGAGAACTGATGCCTTTGAGCTGTGGTGCTGGAGGTGAGTGTTGAATATACCATGGACTGCTAAGGAGAACAAAGAGATTTGTCCTGGAGAAGGTGAAGCCGGAATGCTCCTTGAAGTCAAGAATTCTGAAGCTTCGTCTGACAAACTTTGGGCAAGGAAGGACTGGTCCTTGGGGAGGCATATCATGTTTGGCAGAGTGGAGGGGCGGCGAAGGAGAGGATCGATTCTGTGACTGGAGCACTGGGAATAAGTGCGTTTGAGATGGCTAGGTTGGCACAGGATAGAAAGCATTTAGAGCTCTAGTACATAGGGTCGCTCTGAGTCGCAAGTGACTCAATGGCACATAACAACAACAACCACCTTAAACTTGTTCTTCCTCTTATACATGGAATATTTCTTGTGGTGCCTGCTAAATGTAAATATTTCATTTGATTCCTGTCCAATTTTGGTTTTTTCCTCTTCTTCATCATTACAAACAAGTTTCATCATTAATAGCAAGTCTGCCTTGGAGGAAGTGAAACCAAGGTGATACTTAGGGACTAGGATGGTGACACTCGGCCTCATATATTCTGGGCATGTTGTCAGGTGGGACCTGTCCTTGGAAAAAGACATATGCTGGAGATGTGGAGGGTCTGAGGAAGAGGGAAAGACCTTTAACAAGACAGATTGACACAGTGGCTGTAACAATGAGCTCAAACATCAGATTGTGAGGATGGCACAGGATAGGACAAGGTTCAGATCTGTCATCCACAGGGTTGCTTTGAGTCATAGATGACTTGATATCACCTAACAACAATATCATGGTAACATTAAACTTATTTTTTTTATTATTATTATTTTTGTGTGTACCATCAAATCGGATCTGACTGGTACAGGAGATTGCCCCTCCTTCTCCAGTGTGCCTCTGGTATTGCAGTGCAGCTTCTTGCCACTAGGCCCCCAGAGCTCACATTAAACTTATTTTAAAATAACCATATGATTAGTTTGGAATTCTGCTGAGAAGCTATATTACTGGAGCAGAATACATTATTTCTTTTTTTTTCTATAATTATATTTTATTAATTTTCATAAACATTTACAGAGATTTTGGGCTTCCACTCATTCATTGTTGCACTATTCTCTCTACCCTCCTCCCAGTTTGTTCTTGTCCAAATGCCACAGTGCTTGTCAAAGCCAGTTCTGATTAATCTTCTTTGTCAGTGTATCCTTTGCCATTCCCTATCACTCCTCCCTGAGAGAGACTTCACCCTGAATCATAAGGAAAAGGGGACAGCGTATTCTCTTAGCTACTTCCTGCTGAAAAGGGACGCTGTGGGTTTCAGGGTGAAGATCTTCTCTCACTACTCTAAAGGGCCCCTTTGGCAGTAGGAAACACATAGACTATTATGGAGATTGATTTTGGAATTCAGATGCACTCTTATTGATTGTGCTTGGCTGTACATGTACATATCCTTCAAGATGTATCATGGGGGTGTTGCAACCTAGAAGACACAAATTTGACTAACAAGTTATAAGTACATGAGTCCAAAAATTATGGAAAAGTAAAAGAAAAGATTCTTTCATTGTTTTACAAACCCTCCCCCAGGTCCCCTCCACCATGCAGCCCTCGCTCTAGTCTCCTGTGATGACAGAAATACCCAGTTACATCTCTCTTTTAAACAGTTCTCTCCCTCCTCTGCT